AAATATATAGCTGGTGGTAAAATTTCTATCATTAACTTAACAAACAATACAAAATCAATTGTTACAAATGACAGATGCACTGCTGGGGCAAATAACTGACAATTTACAAGTACAAGAGTACATAATAGTACAGCTGAAACAATTAGTCAATGATTTGTCAATTGGTAGAAAATTATTAAGCAGCAATTTTAATAATTAGTTAATTATTTAAGTCATTTTATATTATTATTTATTTTATTTAAAAAAAGTAACTGGTTCCAGTTTCACAAATGTGAATATTTGCTGATTTATTTTCTAAGTCTTCTATGATAGTAAACTTCAAGTTTTGGACTGTTGGTTGGACAAACAACACACACCCACTTTTATGATTAAACCTATGCTATCATGCATTCGTTCTCATTTATCTTCTGGACATTTTACTACGAGGCAAAATTTAAATGGGTTATCTGGAGAACAAAATAATCAGCAACAGTAATAGGGACTAACGAATCTGTGTAAACTCACTCGCATTAACACAAAAACGCTAACCACAAAAAAACACGGAGGTACACAGCAGAGCACTGCCACTCTGATCTGAACTGTGAGCCAATAATGGGAGGTATGAATGCTGCCCGTATTCCTAATGATTTCTGCCAGTTCTCCTATCCTTCTCTTTTCCAAACTCTCAATCTCACACGTATAGAACATTCACTTAATATTTTAAAAATTTTCTTCATTTTCTATCTTATCTTATTAATCTTAAACAGTAACCTTCCTAATCATTTACCTTTTCTAACCACTGGCTATTCGGTTTCAGAGACCCACAACACTCGCCTCTCTCCATTAACTACACTATCAATTTCTTTCAATATCACTCTGTTTCTTACATTTCATTTCCTGTCCTCATTTATGTTTCTTCTCTTCATCAGAGTTCTATTAATAATTTAAAGTTATCTTGTTGTAATATTCTTACACCATCTATTATTAATCACGTAATCTGACTTACCATTGACTTTATGTCTCTCTCCTTCACTATAAAACTTCTCTGATATATTCCGTTCAGGTTTCTCCCTGACTATGTTTGTAAATCTTTGGGGTATAAATGCCTTCTTGATAGAACTAGTAAGAACCAGACCAGACAGTACAGTACCAGATCAGGTTACTTCCTTCTGATTCATCTCACCATTCCTTCTCCCTTCTTTCTCGTCCCTTCTCTTTCCTCTCCTCCTCTCTCCTCCTCTCTCTCTCTCACAACACACACAACCCACACACACTCCTTTCAGTAAATAATGAATGACTACATTAGAGGCATTTTTGCTTTACATAACTTTAATAGAGCAGTATGGACCCCCCCTACCACAGCAACATTACCCAGCACACAACAAACCCGACCTTTAGTATCAAACCTAAAAAATGTCTCCGCGGGCCTTCCTAGTTAAGTTGCCACCCTGGAACTCCAAAATGGCTGGCCCCTTGTTGACAACGTGAACGTAAGCCTACCCGCCCTCGCTGTAGCCAAATAAAACATGATTGTAATGTCCTTTAACCTGGTGTGTGTATTCCAGCTGTAGAGCTCGTGTGAGGCCCACTGAGTGCTCGACGCATTGTGCTTTTGACGACGTGAAGCTGTTAGCAAACGCGGTCGACCCAGCAGCTGCCACCCAAAACCCAGCCTCTTCAATCCTCAGGCCCTTCCACAGCCAGCCTTTCCTTACTGCATTCAGCCACCCGTTTAGCTGTAGCACATCACCAATGCTGCCTTACCACCCATTCCTGAAAATCAGCTGGTGTTTGCAGGCATTCTCCTTGCATTGTATGTTGAACACTCGGTACACTTCTGCATCACCTTTCTACACCAGGATCTTACACCTTGAAAGGGATTCTCGCCCAAAGCTGTGGACGCTGCTGCGCAGTCTGACAAGAACAGGTTAAAGACTGGGTGTCCTGTGCTCTTATTGCTATCATACTCAATTATTATTATTACATACTACATATACTATATATAACTATATACACTACTACTATATATTAGCGCTGAGTCCCCTTATCCAGCACTACTCTGATCTCACTGGCTGACCAAAAACAATTAATTTTTTTTTTACAAAAAACAAACAGGAAAAAACTCTAATACTAGGTTAATAATCCTCGTTGCTGCCATTGGTCCAGTAAGTGTTGAACTTTTGTGTCCATTTTTAACCATCATGCCTTCGCCAATGCATATAAAACGGTTGTCGGTATGTACGCAATCTTAATAAACAAGCTGCAAATCTCTTTTCTCTTTAGGTGGCCCCTCCGTTCGACGAGTTCATGTCCGTGATCTGACCTAACACCACAGTCAAAGATGAAGCAAATTTCAACGACATCGAAAGGA